TTGAACAAGGTCGGTTTTCCAAATCTCGTGACTAGAAGAAAACATCATTTAGCCGTCCTAATGTTCAAAGCCAAACATAACATGTTACCACATTGCTTAACGGAACTTTTCATCACCTCAAATGAAATACATAATTACAATACAAGACAGAGCGAATTCAATTTTGCATTACCTAAACCTAAAACTAATTTCATGAAAAAGTCTTTCGCCTATCGAGGAGCTGAGACTTGGAATAATCTGTCTGCTGACATAAAAGCTAAAAGAAGTATCTCTACATTTAAAAATAGTCTAACTGTAAGTGTGTAATTTGTGTGTAATTTAGTTATTATTATTAGATACTGTAGTATATGTGTAATTATTATAGCTATATACGGCCTATTGGAAGATCACCCGTCTTAATTTTTGTAAATATCTTGGTGAAATAGTACCGTTTTTAATCCAATTTTACAATTTCAATTTTACCCCATATCCGTTCCGTTCCGCATATCCGTTCCGCATCCGCTTCCGCGTTTTAACCTAACCCGGCAATTTTGGTTAATTTAAAAAATAAATGGGACAAATTCTGTAAATTTTGTGGAAAATTTTATGAAGTTTACCAAATTTTTGTAGGTATCGGAAAATTTTGGTATGTCCGGAAAAAATTTTTGACCCCTAAAATGGTACACTGACCGAAATTTTTTTGGCGACGGGGGGGGGGGGGGGGGGGGGGGGGGGAGGTCGCCAAAACAAATTCGGGAAAAAATTTTTTCGTTACTTGTCGGGCAAAATCCGGAAAAGTCGGGCAAATTTCTTGCCGCCCCCCTAAATTTTTCCTTCCGGTACGCCCATGCAGTCAATGTTGAACCTGTGTCGCATATACGACTTGTCTTGTCACATCTTCGAGTCATGTCGAACTTAATCAAAACCTGTCGAACTTAATTGACTGTAGATGCCACTCCAACGTCGCACTTTATAATTCTTGCATTAGATTCGGCGCATGAAAAGTTTGCCGTTTAATTAAACCGGGCCTGAGTAACAAGTGTCTAGTTTCAAATATATTTTCTATAAAATATAGAAATGTTTCTATATTTAGAAAAATTAGATTTAGTCTGTTTTATCTGTGGTTTCATTCTTGACAGACTAAAATAGAGATTCCAAGTTCCTTAAATGGGTGAAATAAAAGCCCCAAATGAATGTAATATTATTTGTATGGTGAAATTAAAGGTTGGTCTTACATAATGTAAAATAAAATATTGCGGCCTGTAAATTTTGGGGGTACTACAGATAAACAAAACGTCAACATTTTCCTCTTTCGGTAGTTTGGGTCCAGGGACGTCGCGAAGGCATCAACATTGGGGGGGGGGTCGTCTTGTTTTGACCAACTTTTCCTATACAATTTTGACCAACTAAAAATTTTTCCCAAAAATGTTATCCACAGGAGGAAGGGGGGTCATCAAAAAAATTTTCCGGACTAAGATAAGTAAACCTTAAAATTTCTTCCGGACGAACATTACCAAAGCTTAATATTTCCGGACAAATATAACCAAATACTAGAAATTGTTAAAATTGAGAACGATTTCATAACTTTTACCAACTTTTATCTCTCAAACTTTGAAAACTTTTGCCAAGTTTGACCTGCAACTTTGACCAACTGAAATCTTTTCCATTTTGACCAACTCTGACCAACTTTTAGAATAATTGCGGGGGGGGGGGGTGTTTTTTCAAAAAATTTCCAAAATTTTTCAAGGCTATGTCCAACCTCGTACCCAGGGCCTTTGCGCTGTTCTGCTTCCCGTACCAGAGCCTCTAAACCGTGCAAAGGCCCTGGTTGCTGGAGGCTGGCCTTTTCCCGTTTCGCCGCATTTTTATAAAAGGCTTTGGGAACGAGGTTGTCTGTAGCCTCCTGCGCAGACGCATTCTCGTACCCAGAGCCCTTCTTACGCGCGGTGCGACGAGGGGCTCTGGCCAAATCCATAACCGGATACCATAAAAACATGGTAAGAAAACAATGTCCGGTGTTAGAACTAGCCAATATGGATTTGGCCAGAGCCCCTCGTCGTACGGGTACGAGAATGGCGCAGACGTTAGTGGCCGAGGCCGAAATAACAACCTCCGTTTAATAACGATGGAGGAATTAACTAGCATAGCCTGTTGACGAAGAATCAAGATTTATATACTGTGTCTACAATAATCATCAAGATATCCGAATGTGATTATTCAAGCCGCAACAAGTGCAACTTCAAACTGGGTTCAGGAGAACGGCTTCCCAAACATAAAACCCATGTCTTCGACTTCTAAGACTGTATCAAAATTCATATGATTGATAATATACGACGAATTATCTTTACTACCATTTATTTGAAGGAGTTTGTTTTGGCCGTCGTCGTCGCGTTGCCGTCCTAAAATGGTAAGGTCTAATAATGGCAACTGACAATCAGGATCATTGAATGACAAGGCTGTCGATCGAGACTGACGAGGCATATCTTTGTATAAATTATATTGAGGTAGGTTTCCTCCGCTTGACTTTTTAAAATAAATCTTCAAAATAAATCGATGTTCGCGGATAATTTGTTTCCTAAACGGACTTCTTTACATGTTGCAAATTTATAACTTTTCTTGTTTATATTCAGCTAGAAAAGTTTTATTATTTATACAATACGGTCCATACATAACGGAAAGTCGGAAATGCCTGTGTCAGTGCTTTTTTCCCTACAAGTCTTTATCTATTTCTTCATTGAAAGAGGTCATGAGGTTCTTACAGAGACCGCCTCTTAACTCTTGCCCGGATGAAACGAGGATGCGGAGAGCATGGATGCATGACGGTTGGCAGTCAGACACGCGATCTTTAGTAGCTGTTCTTAATGCTTTCCCAACACCATCTTGTTCTCTATTCAAGTAAGTACAAGTCCAAGAGCCCTAACAGTTGAAGTATACACTTCAATACGTACGCGTAATTTGGAATTGGATCGACAGTCAAAGTCGAAAGTATATAATGAATTTGTATAATTTTCGGAAAACGTTGATAAAAAATATGTTGCATAAAGAGTGACAATTCACAAAGAAACAAATCCGTTTTTGTATTATTTATCCATCTATATGTATCCATGTATACATAGGGGTTAAAAACTGTCTTCAATAGTAAGTTGCAGAACTTTATTGTGCAACAGATTGCGGTCAACCGCGGTAGTTTCATATCAAAGTGAAAAATCTTTTATAACGGTGCCTTGTCGCATTTTTGCATTTCAATGTGCAACTCAGACCACAGCAAGGTTTGTCCTCTGTTTGCCACACAGCATCTGTCCTCTGGTTTCATTTGCTCTATACTTCGTATCGAGCACTCTATTCGTATGATTCGACACTCAATATACTTATTGACATTCGCCTATATATATATATTTATTATTTATTTAAAAAATTCCTGGTTACTGATAACAGCCAACTGTGAAATTGTCATATCAACTCAATGGCTAACCAAATACGGATTTTTCACATTCATATTAGCAAAATGACGTCAAAGAGTCAATATGAAAA